GATCATCTCTCTACGATTAATATTGGCGAAGTTACGATACAATAAAGTTTTAAGTATAATTCTGGCTAAAATTATGTTAATTTTTGGCCGGAATTATGACATACAAATATAAGAAATTTTTTATATAGTCACATCTCTTTATAATCACCAAATATGGACTGTCCCAAATGTGTGACTATAAAGAGAGTTGACTGTATATATGAATTATTTTGTAAAATTTAAATAGCAATTTATAATATTTTTTTTATTTATTTAACTTTATAATTAATAGAATTTCATATCAATTTAATTTTATTTAATTATATTATATAATAAGGGGAGTTACATATATTACGTAATATTCATTTTAATATAAACTTACTCCCCTCTCCCCTTTGTCAGATTTAATAACCAATCAAATTATAATATTTATAAATTATATATTTTATTAAGTGTAACGTAAAATTTTGGTTACCCTCCTCCTATACATGCGGGTGAATTAGGATTAGGTGATGCCAAAATATTACGGCAGTGTAATGTATTACACCACAAAATGTCAAAATGAGTTACACTACCGTAATGCCAAATTGGCGAATTGACGAAATGAATTACACTGTCGTAATGCCGAATTGATGAATTGACGAAATAAATTGCACTGCCATAATGCCGAATTGACGAAATGACAAATTGCCAAATTGCCAAATTGATAAAATAAATTATACCGTATTACCGTTGAATTGCACTTTATTAAAATCATTAACTACTTTTAATTATTTACTTCAAATAATTTTTATCAAATTATAAATCTTTATCGCATAAGTTTATAATATATAAAAGCAGTACAAAAAAATTTATTATATATAAAACTACTACTCAGAAAAAAACTATTACAAATTACCTATTTTAAAGAAAAACAAAAAAAAATACTACTGTAATTACTGCGTTTCATTTTCTTTAGTGCTATTAACTTTAGCAAGAATATCATCTACATTAAATTTCATTTCACCATGATCAATTTTTTCAGGTTCCATTTCTTCCTCAGACCTCAGTATGATTTAATTTAATCAAATTACCTACTATTAAATCTGAATCATCTTCGGTTAATTGATCATTATTTCCTTCTTCATCTTCTGGAACCAAATTTTCAAAAGGATCATTATCATTTTCTATTTCATTAATAAACATATCTGAATCTGAAGTAAGTGAATTAGTATAACTTTGCATTATTTCACTAAAAGCGTCATCAGATAGATTTTTGCCAACATAATTAAGTTCTTGTTGTGCATTCAAAATATAAAATGAATGCAATCTTGCCATATTGGATACTTTTTCCACTTTAAGTCTAATAAATATAAAAAAGAATTTAATAAAAAAATATAAATTTTAATAAAATAAATATTCTATGAATATACCTGCTTCGTCTTTTTTGGGTAAACCAATTTAATACTGAGAAAACACGCTCACAGCTTGCACTATGAGGAACAATAGAAAGAATATATAAAGCCAATTCTTGCAAATAATGATTTGATTGTTTACATCCTAACCACCATGATTGGGGAGTTTGAAGTTCGTCAATATAAGGAAAATTATAAGGAGACTTAAAATCATCATAATTATTCATTTGAACAGCAAGTGTAAATGCTGATTTTAATCCTCCGCCCATTTTTGACCATAAGGCAAAAGCTTTCCTTTGGATTAGTAATTGATAGGTTTTAGGTATAAATCCTTTTCCGCGAAATTTTGGATGCAAAAAATATGCTAGTAAATATAATTCATGATCAAACTGCTTCCATCTATTATTATAAAATTGAATGCATTTTTGCCGAAACTCTTTTAATTCTTCAGTACTTTCAGTAGATAAAGCCTTGATAGCAGTAGCCATTTGAATGAGAGCCAAAAAAACATCAGCCATAGTTGCATTTTTACCTTCAATACTCTTCACAGCATTTTTTGCAGGTTCTAAAATAGTTGTAAGACTTTCAACATTCAACCAAAAATTTCGATTATTTACTAAATTTTGTAAAGTTTGATTCATTGCTTTAGAATCAGCAATTAACATCTAGAAATATAATAATAAAATATTTAATAATTTGACATTAACTTAGAAATTAACTACAATTTCACTTACATTTTTGAAAATAGTTTCTAAACGTAATACTGATGTACAGCAATCCCAAGCAGTACTCCATCTTGTTTTAACCGAACTTTTTAATCTACCTCCAACAATTAACTCTTTTTTGATTTTTTCACGAAGAGTAGCTCCAGATTGATGTGACTCAGCAAAATAAGTAACAAATTTCTGACAGTTAATAAGTATATTATTTGAAAATGGATTTTTTTTCATAATATCAGTACAAATTAATTGCACGTGATGAGCGATACAACGGACTGGCAAAATTTTAGGATATTCTTCAGATATTAATCTCTTAGCTAATTGCATAGCACTAGCATTATCCGACACTACTGAAGAAAAACGCTGTGGGCCTATATCTTTAAGGACTTTCTTTATTTCTTCTGCTGTAAAAAGACCAGTGTGAGAGTTTTTTGAACAGTCTTTAACTTTAATTACATATTCTTTTCGTTCAGGAGTAATTATAACAAAAGAAAAATAAGAATGATGGTTGCTACTTGTCCATCCGTCTAACACTTAATATTGAAATAAAAATAATATTAATATTTATTGGAGATATAATAAATAAAAAAAAATTATTTACCAAGTGAAAGATTTTCTTGTTTTTTAAGTATTTCTTCAACATCAACGGTAATTCTTGCCACTTCATTACTAAGCCAAGTATCACTTAATGTTTTCCTGTCTGGCAATTGATAACTAACGCATAAATTCATTACAAGATCAATAAAGAATGGACTTTCTACAGTAGAAAAAAGGACGCCACAGCATACAAAAAATCTAGTCAATGCTCTATTACAAAGATATTGTTGTCCAGGATCTATTGCTGATTTTTGTAATTTAGATGTGATTTTTGGTTGAATTCCAGTTGCAATTTCTTCATTAAGTTTTCGCTTCCTTGTAGTAATTCGACCAGAAGATTGCTCATTATTTTGTGCAAGAATTCTGAGATATTGTTCTTTAACTGAAGCTTCAACTTTTTCACATTATAATGCTAAATGTGCCATCATATCTGGAACTCTTCCTCTGTTCCAAGCATCGCCACAATATACACAAGTACTAGGTGAGTGGCCAAATTTTCTAGCTTCCTCTTCAATAAAATAATTCCATATATCATTTTTTTTCTTGCCAGGCTTCTTGAATTCTTCAGTTTCCGGAAGATCTGATAATTCTACAAAATTTAGATCTTGAAAAGATCTTGTTTCATCAAGAGAATCTGTTTCATTAGCCATAATTTCTCTTTAATTAACTTTTGTAATAGAAAATTTGAAAAAAAATAGCATGCGAAAACTTTTTCCGATAAATATTGATCAACCTGATTACATTTTAGCCAATCATTAACTGGCGTCAAACACGTTAATCATACAAATTTTTAGGATAACGATATTAGAATTAAAAAATTTCACCTAGAAATTCCAAAGATTAAAAAGTAATAATGAAAAATTTTAGGTTTAATAAAGTTT